CAACCGAGGTACGTGCCCTTAGCGGGAACCGAACCCGGGTCTCTCTGTACCGCAGGTCGATGCTCCAACCGCTGAACCAAACCGGCCAGGGCTGTTATTGTTTTTAATTTGACAGTCCAAGGGAAAAGAAGTTCGTGCCCCTGACTAAATAGCTAGTGCATGTTTTAAAAATTCTTGCGGCGCACCAGTTGAAAATTGCTGCACTACACTAAGGGAACCTTGGGAGTGTAGAGGTTGTTTCACTCAGTTTTATCCCCAGTGCCTAGCTTTAGTGCCTGGAAAGTACTGCTCAGTAAATGTTTAGTGACTAAGCAAATGAATGTTAGGTTTGCCCTGACTAAAATAATTTCACAGTGACTAAACTGAGGGGGGAGAAGAGGGGATAGGGAGATGAAGGAATAGGGATGTGGAGGGGCATGAGGGTAGTAATTAATTGGGCAGAGAGAACTGTCTTGTTCTTTAATGTATCCCGAGTGTAGCCAAGAATCCAACATATATTGAGAGTTCAGTAAAAGGTATTTGAATGAATGAATGAATGAATGAATGAATGAATGAGTGAATGAGTGAGTGAGTGAGTGAGTGAATGAATGAAAAGATAAATCCTCTAGCTTAGCCCTAGTCCTAGAATATTTAAAGTATATGAGATATTTGTCTCCTTTCTTAACTACTAGCCTGCAGGGAGGAGTTTGGTTAGCCACCCTTCAGCTCTCTCTACCTAACTTGAACTGCAGTTAAAGCTGCTATTCTGGAACTTAGCTCGGGGGCAAAGGGAATCCTCTCCTGCCTTTCTGCCCCTAACATTCCTCCCAGTGACAACTTCTCCTTAATTCTGCAAGTCTGTTTTCTTCTCTCATTTAAGGAAAAGAAGAGGTGGAGCTCCCTGACCTTGGCAGTTTCTGTTTAGGAGTTTAGAACCCATCCTTCCCCTCCTAACCACATACAGCTTTGTCACTGGTTACCTAAAGCTAACCTCAAGATAGAACCAGACTCTCTTAAGTTTTTTTCTGATGATATATTGTAAAAACAAAAAATATTGCTCTCCTTGCTAATAAAAATTTGTGATGGAGTATTTCTCAAGTATTTGAGTTAATACCTTTAACATTAATATGCAATGTTTAGAAAGATTATAAAGAAATGAGGTCAAGAAGAGTTAGGACTATTAACCCTATTGAAACAGTACTAAGGATTGGAGACATTTTTGTGTTTTCCTTTGGAAAATAAATGCATGGTGAATAATAGTTAAAGGAAAGTCCTTAATTAGAGTTGGATGTCTCTGTTCAAATTTTTATTCATCATATAATTTTTTTTTTTTTTTTATCCTCACCCGAGGACATTTTTCCATTTTTTTGTACAGATAGAGTGGGAGGGAGAGAGAGGGAGAGAGAGAGAGGGAAACATCGATGTGAAGGGACACATCGAGTGGCTGCCACCCGCACGACCAACCAGGGCCGGGGACAAACTGCAACCGAGGTACATGCCCTTAGCGGGAACCGAACCCGGGTCTCTCCGGACCGCAGGCGGACGCTCTAACCGCTGAGCCAAACCGGCCAGGGCCATCATATAACTTTTTTTACAATAGAAATTAATTTTCTTGTAGTTCTGGAGGCTGGAAGTTCAAGAGCAAGGTGCTAGCAGGGTTGGTTTCTGGTGAGGCCTCTCTGTTTCTAGATGGTGCCTTCTCGCTGTGTTCTTTGTGGCCTTTTCTCTGTGCAGGTTCACTGAGAGTGAGCCAGCTCTGGTGTCTCCGTGTTCTTATGAGGTTGCCAGTTCATTGGATTAGAACCTCACCCTTGTTATCTCATTTAACATTAACTACATCTGTTAAGGCCCTATCTCCAAATACAGGGTTAGACCTTCAACATATGAATGGGGAGTGGAGGGCGCACACACTATTCAGTTCATACCAGATGTGAAATATGGCGGTCTGGGCATTTTGATGTTGTCTATGACTTAATAAAAGTTGAGAAACAAAGGAAGATTTCTATAAGAAATTTTGAGATCTTAAAATATTGGGGATATGCATGCAGTTACTTACTCGCTCTGAGGTTGATACTCTGTGCAGACAGCTCATCAGTGATTGTTCTCCATTGCGAGCTGTAGCCTAAAGTGCTGATTTGAGAACAGCAGTCTTTCCTTTCATGGGCATGTGAAACCTGCTTTCTGGTTTTAGACTGGAGCTCCCATGGTGGAGCTGGTCGTCCAGTTTCATGTCTGTAGGCAGCCTTCTTCCCTACTCCTGCATGTGTATTTCAGACATCCTCCACTGTCCTGGTGCACTCTGCCCCGTCCCCACCTCCGACCAGAATTCCCTTTTCACCAGCAAATCTGTGCAACCGACCAGTCTCTGCTCTCACCCTCAGTCTCTCCTCCAACTGAGGGTCAGAGGCCATTTCCCTTCTGGACTGCATTTCCTTCTTCCTTCTCAGCCACCTGGACTCATTACTTCTTTTTTACATCTTCCACTCTTCCTTACTTCTGGATTGTTCCATCAGCATTGCCCTCGTCCAGCACTTTTATTTTTTAAATAGTTTTTTCTTTTACAACAGTGATGTCATGGCTTCTTCTGTATCCTTAGGACTTCTGTTCAACTAGATTTCAGGCAGTTCTCAGTGATGGTTGTTTTGTAGTGTAGTTGTAATTTTATTTTTTTATTTTTTTTTCCTTTATTGATTTTAGAGAGAGAGGAAGGGAAAGAGAAAGAGAGCTAGAAACATCAATGAGAGAGAAAATTGATTGGCCACCTCCTGCATGCCCCCACTGGGACTGGGCCCTCAACCTGGGCATGTGTCCTGACTGGGAATCGAACCGGCGACCTCTTGGTGCATGGGTCAATGCTCAACCGCTGAGCCACACCAGCTGGACTGTAGTTGTAATTTTTATGTGGTCATGGGAGGATGCCAGTACTGCATTTACCCACTTCGTCATCTTGACCAGAAGCCTCATTCATCATATTCTTGTTGGAAGAGGAGACTCAAAAGGCACATGCTATTTAAGTAATAAATTTCCCATTGTAATAGACGTACCATTTATATTTTCTCTTAAGGAAATGTAAATGTTAGAACCAGTTGCAAGAGAGATGGTGTCAGGTATTGCAAATTCCTAAGACTACTTTCTGACTCCACTGGGCTTTTATAAATAAATTTTATCTACTGTGAGGCTTATTTAATAGTCACTTTAGAGCTCAATATCATAGAAGGTTATAATTTTAAAGTTTCATGTAGAGCCTTCTGAGCAGTGAAAAGCTTTTTTTTTTTTAATCCTCACCCGAGGACATTTTCCCATTTTTTGTACAGATAGAGTGGGAGGGAGAGAGAGGAAGAGACAGAGAGAGAGAAACATCGATGTGAAAGGGACACATCGAGTGGCTGCCACCGCACGACCAACCAGGGCCGGGGACAAACTGCAACTGAAGTACGTGCCCTTAGCGGGAACCGAACCCGGGTCTCCGGCCCGCAGGCCGATGCTCTAACCGCTGAGCCAAACCGGCCAGGGCAGCAGTGAAAATCTTTTATAAAATAAAACTTAAACTTTGTCTTTGATTAGCTTATTTAACAAATTAATTTAGATTGGCACCAATTCCAAGACCTAAGGGCTAGAAGCTCAGTGGTTTTCTGACTGTAGTACAGTTTTGTTTGTTTGTTTACCCTTTACCTTCAGGAGTAAAGTACATTCTGTGTGGTCTGGTCATGTATGTTCTGAGCAGTGGTCAGCCCACATTGGACATAGCATAATTCATTCATTTTAGCTCCACTGTGACTTTAATTTTTTACAGACTTAATTTTAGTATAATGTAATTTTAGGGAAGAAAGAAGGGCTTTAAAGGCCTTGGTCATGGAAATTCTTTTTTTTTAATCCTCACCCGAGGACATTTTTCCATTTTTTGTTCAGGTAGAGTGGGAGGGAGAGAGAGGAACAGAGAGAGAGAGAGAAACATCGATGTGAAAGGAACACATCGAGTGGCTGCCACCCGCACGACCGACCAGGGCCGGGGACCAACTGCAACCGAGGTACGCGCCCTTAGTGGGAACCGAACCCGGGCCTCTCAGGACCGCAGGCCGACGCTCTAATCGCTGAGCCAAACCGGCCAGGGCTTAAGAATCTTTTATATATGTATTTTTTTATTTTTATAAAAACTCCCGTCTAAAGAAAGAAATCAAAGATAAGGATCTTTCTATAAGCTACTTCTTAGTGTTTCTTGCTTTTATCATTTTTCTCTCAATCTGTTTCATTTTGATCCTTGAAAATGGCCCGAGAATAGAATCTTAATTTTGGAATTATTTTTCTTGTTTGAAACTGGAATTATAGGGGTTTTTATGGCATTTCCCCCAATCAGTGTTTCAATTGGTATAGGGGGCAAAAGAGCAGTCAGTCTTTTTTAGTTTATTAGGAAGGAAAACCTTTGTACAGAATTGCACAACTAAATATTTATTTGTTTGTTTTTTAATCCTAACCCAAGAATATTTTTGTATCTATCTTCAGATAGAGTGGGAGGAAGGGAAGGAGGGAGAGAGAGTGAGAAAGAGAGAAAGAAAGAAAGAGAAACATCAAAGTGAGCGAGACACATCTACCGGTTGCCTCTTACATGACCCAGACCAGGGCCGGGACAAACCACAGCCGAGGTATGTGCCCTTGACTGGAATCAAACCCGAAACTCATTGGTCTGTGGGCCAACGCTGTAAACAACTGAGCCAAACAGGCCAGGGCACTAAGTTTATTTTTAGAGGCCTGATTTTATTAGTTTAGTTCTTTGGCTCTACATTCATGCAGTCAGATAGTTATTTGTGATTATTTCTTGTAGGTCAACCATCAAAGTGACATGACTTTTACCTGATTAGGAGTTGTTTTAAAATAAATAGAATTTATGCCTTTCAAAGTGTTTTCCATATCAGTTAATTCAGTATAATTGACCTTTCATTCTCAAGTGCTCTTGCAATATGAAAAGGGAGAATTTTTAAAAAGTGACTCAGTTAAATTTATGATATTTTACCATTTGTTGGCAGGACTTTGTGTCATTGTATCAGGATTTTGAAAACTTCTATACAAGGAACCTTTACATGAGGATTAGGGACAACTGGAATCGACCAATCTGTAGTGTGCCTGGAGCCAGGGTGGACATCATGGAGAGACAGTCTCATGATTACAACTGGTCATTCAGGTGAGTCTCCTGTGGGAAATCATTTCTGAACAACAGAAAAGGAATTTTTTTACTTAAGAAAATATTTTGTTGTAAATTTGACAGTATTTTGTCAAAACAGCAGAAGCTGAAAATACAATATGATTAGTTTCCTTGCATATTGCTCATTGTTATTGAGATGTTTAAAATACATTTTTTATTAGTTTGCTAGTGTGTTGGTAATAGTTGAAAACAAAATTTAACCTATTAAAACAAAATAAGGAAAAACTATCCTTTCTATTACACCACTTACCAGAATCAAGTATCTAAATTTATTTCTTAAATTTTTTATTTAAAAGGATTGAATAATTTAGAAAAAATTTTTATGTTTATAAAATTTTGTGTGGTTTAAATTGCTCAAATATTACATGATTGCATTGTCATTATTTAGAAAAAAGATTTCTGGACAATATATTTCATGGATCACTGAGGTCTGGGCATATTCACAGCTTTTGACTTGGTTTCCCATCCCAACATGGTGGGTCATCTAAAACCCAACACTGTTTCACAATGCTGTGTTTTCTTTTTGCTCTCATCTCACTTTACAGAATTGTATGAGGCTATATTGAACCTCAGTTCTAATAAAGTTTTCATATGTAATAATATACTTAAAAAAAAGACAAGCAATACATATAAATTGAAAGTCCCCCGTGACAACTAACCACTATCCCTCTGCAAATCCACTCCCCTGCTAATCTTCACTTCCCCAGAAGTACCCCCTCCCTTATCAGTTTGTTGTGTATTATTCCTCCACATATTTTCTTTGGTGTCTGTATATACTAGGATTACACACAGGTAGTTTTTGATTTACAAAAATGGCATCGTACTATAGAAATCATATTACATCTTGTTTTTTTTACTTGCAAACATATTGGTAACATTCTTCTTGTGTATATTCACAGTGAGCTCATTATTTGTAGTGGCTACTTAGTATTCTACAATATTGATGTAGGTTGGGCTACATCAATATCATTATGGATAGGTGAATATTGGTATTTTAACTTTCATTTCATTTATCGGTAGTGAGTTTGATCTACTTTTTATTTAGATCATATTTTCTCTATTTCCTATATATGATGCTTCCTTTGGTATTGCCAACATGTTTATTATTACATGTAAGTATTTGACTTACCCATGGGTTTCATGAACTTTCATGCTGTTGAAATACAGGTACACAGGGAATACAATTAAAGGTGTTATAAACATGGGTTCCTACAACTATCTTGGATTTGCACGGAATACCGGATCATGTCAGGAGGCAGCTGCCAAAGTCCTAGAGGAATATGGAGTTGGCGTGTGCAGCACTCGACAGGAAATTGGTGAGTGTAGGCTATGTTTGGCTAGCTGATGTTCTTAACTTTTTTACTCAGAAAGGAATAATACAGATAGAGAACTAGTCTATTAAGTGTCCAAATACATACTTTGCCATGTAGTTTAGATCAGGTAAAGATTGCTTTATTTTTCTGAATTGATGGATGATTTTAATGCTTTCAACACATTTTGAGATCTGTTTATCATTTCCATTATTTTATACATGCAGAGTATCTTTCGAAAAGTTTTGTACTATTGTTTCATTTATAACTTTAACATTGACTTTATTGACTTTTACAAACAGAAGTGGTTAAAGAGCATCATTTAATATCTGAGCCCATGAGCATATGAAAGTTAATATATTTCTATACTGGTAATTTGGGGCTAATAATAATTCCTGCCTTACTGGACTTTTTAAAGAATTAAATAAGCTAATTCATGTAAATTTGCTTGTAACATGGTAAATATTCAATGTTAAGGATAACAGATTTATGTAAGGAGATTTAATTTATTTAGTTAAAAGGAAGATTCCAAATTCTTCCATTTTTATCCCAGTGACCATAGAAGTTATAAGGCATCTTTCTGAATATTTATTACTGTGAATCACAGCAAAACTTAGTGGATTAGAACAACCATTTGTTGTTATTTCTAGAGATAGGCAAGTACACTGGGGTTGTTCTCACTCAGGGTCCCCAGGGCTGTGATTAAGGGAGCACTGACAACACAGAGCAATCACACATCTTTACGGCACTTTATATTTATGAAGTACTTGAACATACTATCTCTCTTGATCCTCATACCATGTCATGAGGTAGGGCTAGGTGGAGCAATAGTATTACTGGTATTTAACATAAGAAACTGAGGCCCAGAGAGGTTAAATGACTTGATTAAGCTTTAAGGACACATAGCTTTCAAGTTCAGCATTCTTCTTTCTTGGCATCTTTTCTTTTTGCATGTAGCGGGTCTCATTGATCAGTATTGTTTGGTCCTTAAGGAATTGAGTACTGATGTAAAAATCACAATACAAATTTACCTGTCAGATCAAAGTGAAAGAAGGTGCTATTCACCTGTCTTTTGCTACATAACAGACCATTCCAAAACTTAGTGACTTAAAACAGCAACATATGTTTATTTGCTTGTGATTCTGCCATTTGGAGAGAGCTTAATGTTGATCTCAGCTCCACGTGGTATTGGGTGAGGATGGCGTATCCAGGGTGGCTTCACCCACAGGTTTGCACCTCAGCTGGGCAGTGGGATAAGCTGAGGGCTGATTGCACCCTCCCTTTAATTTTTTATCCTCCAGAGTCCCTCTCTCTCCACATGGTCTCTCTTTACAAAAGGCTAGTTAGATTATGTGTGGCAGCTGATTTCAAAAGTATAAAGGCAGATGTTTCCATGCCTCTTAAGGCCTAGACATGGAACTACCCTGTGTGAACTGGAATGGGAGAAATTGTTGGCAGCCTTTTTACAGAAATTGACCACAGGTATTGAATTTGAATTTACTTAACAATTGTGCTCTTTATGAGCCATCACTCTTCATAATACTGACTCCTTTATACCTTAGTCTGGTTATAACACGTAGACTATGATTTTTTTTTAAAATTATAGTAGGCATACGATACTATAGTTGTTTCAGGTGTACATCCCATGGATTAGACATCATGTAACTTACTAAGTGATCACCCTGATAAATCTCATACCCATCTGACACCATTCAGTTACTAGAATATTATTAACTGTATTCCATATGCTATAGTTACATCCCCATGACTATTTTACTACCAATTTGTACTTCTTAATCCCTTCACCTTTTTCTCCCATCCCCCCAACCCTCCTCCCATCTGTCAACAATCAAAAAGTTCTCTGTATCTATGAATCTGTTCCTGTTCTGCTTGTTCGTTTACTTTTTTTTTTTTTTTGATTCAGTTGTTGATAGATGTGTATTTATTGTCATATCTTTGCTTTTTTCCTCCTCTTCTTAAAGAAGAACCTTTAATATTTCATGTGATACTGGTTTAGTGGTGATGGATTCTTTTAGCTTTTTCTTGTCTGAGGTCTCCACCTGTCTGCGGAGAATCAGTTATGCAGGGCTCACTCCGTGGAGCAGGACTGACCTCAGTGGGACTCTGGTGCCCACTGAGTCCACCCCTTGAATGTATCACTTGTGGAGGTTGTTGGGTGGTGTTTCAGCATAGTCTGAAGCTATTCACCAGGTGCACTGGCTCTGGTCCTCCCAGGAGGTTCAGGCCATGGTTAAACACTGCCTGTGTTTTGTCTGGGCCCACCCAGCTGAGCTGTACAGTGATCTGCAGATGGCTGCTACTTGTGCTGGGTTTGGAGGTGCCCAGGAGAGGCCAAGCTGCCAACCATGACTATCTGCCGCTAGTGCTGGGCCTGGGGCCACTTAAAAGGAGGTACAGAACATCTCAAGTCTAGATGCTGCTTGTTTGAGAGGTTTTAGGAAAGTCTGAAGCCTGAGCCAAGACAGGCCATTCATATGGAAAAGCCACTGGAAACAACTTGGGTGCGTCCACAAGTTGAGTGAGGAGAGGTCTCGGAATCACCAGGGCCAGGATAACAGTGTTAGCCAGGCTGATGGAGACTCAGATATGACACTTGCTTGCTGGTTGGGTTGGGGTGAGTGTCTCAGAAAAGGAACAGTGGCCTCTGCCAGTACTTCTGTCTGGGAGAAAGCTGTCCTGCCAGCTCTCGCCCTGGTGCCAGACAGTTCAGCTCCTCCCCGTGTCCCTAGTGCCTTTCAAGCTGCTGCCCCAGAGCGTGTGAGTCAGATTAGGTCCATGCGTGCACCCTTTAAGAGGAACTGCCTGGGACTCCAGAAGCCCTCCATCTCACTCAGCCACAGTCCCTGCTGTTTTTACAGCCAGAAGTTGTGGAGACTTCTCTTGCCACTGGAACCCTGGGCTAGGAGGCCTGGTTGAGGGCTGGGACTCCTCACTGCTCAGGAGTACCCCCATAGCCAAGATGTTGCTCTTGGTTTTTATCTGCCACATGTGAGTGTGGGACTAGCCTGTTGCATGTCTCTACCCCTTCTACCAATCTTGATGTGGCTTCTTTTTCATATCCTTAGTTGTAGGACTTTCCTTCAGCTAGATGTCAGGCAGTTCTGAATGATTTAGTTGTATTTCTGATGTATTTAGAATGTGGTTTAGTTGTATTTCTGATGTGGTTGTGGGAGGAGTTGGATACTGCGTTTATGTACTCCACCATCTTAACCAGGTCTCCGACTATGGTTTCTTTTAATAAAGTAATGAATAATTCTTAAATCTTGGATATGTTGATACTGACTTCATTAACTTCTTCACACAGGAAACCTGGACAAGCATGAAGAACTAGAAAAACTTGTGGCAAGTTTCTTGGGAGTAGAAGCTGCTATGGCATATGGCATGGGGTTTGCAACAAATTCAATGAACATTCCTGCTCTTGTTAGCAAAGTAAGACTTAGTCTGTCATTAATGAGAACTCCCTCGTAACTATCTTATTTTGTTTTATAAAACATTCAGTGCAAGCCAGAAACTATTGTAAACTTTAGGCTAAACATAGTCTACCTCAAAATATTTCTTTTTTTTTTATCCTCACTCGAGGACATTTTTCCATTTTTTGTTGAGATAGAGTGGGAGGGAGAGAGAGGGGGAGAGAGAGAGAGAGAGAGAGAGAGAGAGAGAGAGAGAGAGAGAAACATCGACGTGAAAGGGACACATTAAGTGGCTGCCTCCCTCACAACCCAACCAGGGCCAGGGACAAATTGCATCCGAGGTACGTGCCTCTAGCAGGAACCAAACCTAGGTCTCTCTGGACCACAGGCCAATGCTCTAACCACTGAGCCAAATCAGTCAGGGTTACCCCAGAATATTTCTACCACACATTTTTGAATAAGGATGTACCATGGAGACTTATATCAGTTGAAGCTTTCTTATTGGAACCCGTGGTCATTTCCTCTTTCGTTGCATGACTCTTGCCTTCTTCATTTTATACAGTTAAAGGGATTCTAATAAAACCTCATAAAAGGCTAAAATTATGGAAGAAAGAATGTTTTGTTTGGAAAGTTATTTTTAACAGGTGATTTTTTCCAAATAGAAAATTTTGAAAATACGTACTTGTTCTCACTGTAAATGCGTATTGCTCAGAGACATATGGGCAAATTGTGTGTGTGTTTGTGTATCTATATATATGTTAATAATAATATAGGTTAATAATGGAGGTTAAAAGTAGAATATATACACACACACACCTTTAGATTGTGTGTGTGTGTTTCTGTGGGTAGAGTTTGTGAGGGGACAGCAGAAGAGACCCAAGATAAAAGACATTGCAAATCACGTTTTAACAGATTGGCACTTTGTTAGAATAATTCCTCAAGGTTATTTATTCTCATTTTAACAATGGTATCTGTGAATGATATGTTGAAAAAATCAGTGGGTTAATGAGTTAGAAGACTTGAGTTTTGTTTGGTTGGTCATATGGTCAAATTTAGTTGTGTAACGGTGAACAATATCACAACCTTTCTGAGCCTCAAATTTTTCTTTGTAAAATTAAGTACTTGAGTTAGGTTAACTTTTAAGTCCTTTTCAGTTATATAAATATATGGTTCCCCAGGGAACAGATGGGAAAACAAAACAGATAGCAAGAGAGGAAATTTAAACCCAACTATATTGGTATTACATTAAATGGAAATAGTTTATACATTCCAAGTAAAAGACAGAGATTGTCAGATTAGACAAAATTGAGTAGGTTTCTACCAGAAACCTACTTTAAAGACATAAAGGTAGGTTAAAAGTAAAACGATGGGAAAAAGATACAGCACACAAACAATAATCAAAAGGAAGTTGGCATACCCTGGCCGGGTAGCTCATTTTGAGCATTGTCCCGTACACCAAGAGGTTGTGGGTTTGATTCCTGGTCAGGGCACATACCAACCTAGGTTGCAGGTTCAATCCCTGGTCAGGACGTGTACGGGAGGCAACCAATCGATGTTTCTCTCCCTCCCTCTCTCTAAAAGTCAATAAAAACATATCATTAGGTGAGGATTAAAAAAAAAAAAAGGAAGTTGGCGTGACTAGATTAATGTAAAGATTTCAGAGCAAGGAATATTTCTAGGGATAAGAGAAACATTATGTAAAGATAAAGGAGTTTACTCCATTAAGAAGACATAAAAATTTTAAATGTGTAGGCACCTAATAACAAATGTAATATAATTTGTGGGAGGAAGCTAATGCAATGCTCAGATGGAACTATATAGCTTTAAATGCTTATATTAGGAAAAAAGAATAGTTTCGATCAGTCATCCAAACTCTACCATATGAAATTAGAAAAAACAGAGCAAATTAAACCCAAAGATTCCAGAGGAAAGATACAGAAAAGGAAAATATAGAAATCAATGAATTAGAAAATAGACAATAGGAGAAATCAGTGAAACCAAAACTGGTTCTTTGTAAGGCAGCTATGCTAACCACTATACCACCAACGCCCAAAACTGGTTCTTTGAAGAAAATGAGTAAAATTGATATATCTGTAGCTAGATTGGTCAGGATAAAAGAGAGAAGACAAAAATTACCAGGAGCAGAAATGAGCGAGGCTACATCATTGCATATCCTATGGACATTAAAAGGGTATAAAGAAATATTAAGAACAACTTTGTGCTGGTAAATTCAACAACTTAGCTACAATGGAAAAATTTCTTGAGAGACATAACTGTATGGTTCCTTGACTTCACATTGATTATAGTACATTTTGGCATCATTAACTTGAAATTTTATTTGGAATTTCTTACAATTTTTCACACTAAAGGGTTAAATAATCTCATCCTGCTTCTCCTTGTGCTCACAAACTCTTTTAACAATCACTATCTTGAATTAGATGTCTTATATACAGACATGGAACATTTATCATGCAATCAAACATAGTTTGTAATGTTATTAAATATAATTTAATTTATTCAAGGCAACAACTAATCCAGTTTTAATATTTCTTTAAATTTTCACTAAATTTCTAAGGGAGGTGATTATTCATCTTACTCAGCGGCAAACAGTATATTGACTAAGAGCATATATTCTAGAAGCAGAAGCTTTGTATGAATCACTTACATGCTTGTGACCTTGGGCAAGATTTGTTTGTAACTCCTTAGTTTACACATGTGTAAAATGGGGATAATAATAGTTTCTACCTCACAGATTTGTAGTGAAGATTAGAAGTAATAATGTGTTTACAACCCTTAACGTAATGCCTGAAACATGTTAAGCATTTAGATGTTAACTGCTGACATTTATTTTTTAACAAATGGTATAATAGAGAGACTCATAGTATATTAGAAGAAAAAACAGATTAATACACAAAAATGGTGAATAAAACTGTCTAAAAAGGAGGTGATAATCAAAGAGAACACATTTATATTGCAGATTTTGTCAGAAAGAAATTAGATGGAAAGAGAAGAAAATAAAATTGTATAGAGGGCAAGAAATGGATCCTTTTTTAAGGTATAGTGGAATGCCAAGAGTGATTAAGGAAAGGATATGGAGACTTGCAGAAGAGGAATTCAGCCTGTCCTAATTTTTTTCTCAGTTTCTCTCATATCTTCCAATTTTAACACTTTTTTCAAAGATAAATTTAGACTCAACAAAAGAGTTGAAAGAGAGTGCAGAGAGTTCCTATGTACCCTTCATTCATCTTCCCTGTATGTTAATATCTTACATAAATGTGGAACATTTATAAAACCTAAGAAACTAACCTTGAGCCCTGGCCGGTTTGGCTCAGCGGTTGGAGTGTCGGCCTGCGGTACAGAGAGACCCAGGTTCGGTTCCCGCTAAGGGCATGTACCTCGGTTGCAGTTTGTCCCCGGCCCTGGCTGGTCGTGCGGGTGGCAGCCACTCGATGTGTCTCTTCACATCGATGTTTCTCTCTCTCTCTCTCTTCCTCTCTCTCCCTCCCGCTCTATCTGAACAAAAAAAAAAAAGGAAAAATGTCCTCGGGTGAGGATAAAAAAAAAAAAAAGAAACTAACCTTGATACAATACTACATACTTATTTCAATTTCACCAGTTTTTCCACTGATACATTTTCCTGTTCCAGTTCCAATTGAGTATCCTCATTGCATTTAGTTATTGTCTTTCCTGACCTTGACTGTTCTGAAGGAAAAGTTGTTGTTTCTCCCCTATTTTTTTATATCAGTATGGATTCATGAATATTTTATTATTTGGGTTCAACATGATTGCTTTTAGTTTTGTTGCTCAAGTTGTTCCAGTTGGGCCATTAGGAGATCTTTCAGATGATCTCCTGTACCCTTTGAATATGCCCCATTTTCCCCCATAAAGCACCTTTTTTGTAGCATAGCAAGATGCATCAGGCTCTTTTTACCTATCCTAACCTTGGGGTCAGCTACTTAGTTCTCCTTTGAGCCCTGGTTCCTTTTATTGGAGGATAGTATTTAGGAACCAAGGTTTGGTGTGTTTATTCCTACTGGGGTGTCATTGCTTCCCTCCCTTCAATGGGTGGAGCTAGGAGAATATAAACATGTGTGCTAACTCATGTATACACGTATCGGTCAGTATGCTTGTGTATAGATACATAAAATTTAAAGACTATTGGTTCATATGGGTACCTCCAGCTCTACTTCTCTTCGTTTTTAATCTACACAATTTTAACTAGGGAGCTTTTTTTTTTTTTTAATCTTAATAAAAACTACATAGAGTAAAAATTTCAGACAGACAACTGCTATTGCAAGTTTCTTAAGTATCCATTCAGGAATACCCTGTAATATATAGGCATATGTACATGTCTGTATGTCTTCTCTCTTCCTTTTATTCTCCTGGGATAACTTTCTGCACCTTACTTTTTTGTCTAATCAGATATTTTGGTGCCATTGTTGACAGAGAAAAACGTGTTCCTGAGTTCAGATTTTACAGGTTGGAGCCTTCATGAGATGTGGAAGAGTAAGAACTAGGGAAGAAATAAAAATCCTGAGAGCTTCAGACTATTCTTGTTGCCTTTAAGAAACCCGTGTTTACATGGGTTTAAAGTAAAACCTGTTCAGGGATTTTAAGGGCAAAACTAAGCCTACATTCCCTGTCATTTTGGGGATAGATTAATAAGTGGGATCCTTATTGAACTCTGGATATAGTTAGGAGTGGGAGGAAAAATGCACTATTTCTACAGGCATTACTTCCTCAGCTGCCTTCGCCCCACCACCACACACGTTTTCTTTTTTCTTTTTTTAAATCCTCACCTGAGGACATTTTTTGCATTTATCTTCAGACAGAGCAGGAGGAAGAGAAGGGGGAAGAGAGAGAGAGAGAAACATTGATGTGAGCGAGACACATCAACTGGTTGCCACCCACATGACCCCAAACTGTGCCAGGGACAAACCGCAACCAAAGTACATGCCCTTAGTGGGAAGTGAACCCGGGACTCTCTGGTCTGCAGGCCGATGCTCTAACCAGTGAGCAAACCGGTCAGGGCCACACACACGTTTTCCATGAATAAAATAGTACATCATACCAAAATACATCATACCAAAATTCACAAAATGAATTAAACCAACAAAATGAAAACCTATGAAGACTATCTGATATATCAGATTTTAGGTATAAATAAAAACCTACTGCTGTATATCTGAATATGGCCATCTCAGGAATGAAGAAATTAAATTAAAAAGCTAGAATTTTGCATCTACTCCTAAATTAATTTTGGGGGAAAAAAAGGTATGCTTTTTTCTTCTTGAACTTGAGAGCTTTGCTGTTATACTAGCTTTCCTTAATAAGATTTAATTATTATTAATGATATTAGCATTTGGTAATTTGTGTAATGAACCCCCCCAGCTTCTTACTTCCTGTGCTTGTGGTTTTGCAGGGTTGCTTGATTCTGAGTGATGAACTGAACCATGCATCACTGGTTCTAGGAGCCCGACTCTCAGGAGCAACCATTCGAATCTTCAAACACAACAGTGAGTTTGTTGTGGAATTTGCTGCTGGCCTTAGTGTTTAGTATTCTTTGGGTTAGTGGCAGTGGTGACATTAATTACATTAATAATAGAAACTATAAATGAAGGTGAAGTAGCAACAATTAAAATGTCTTTCAATTAAAATGGCCGGGTAACTCAGTTAGAGCATTGCCCAATATACCAAGGTTGCAGGTTCGATCCCCGGTCAGGGCCCATAGAAGTATCAACCAGTGAATGCGTAAAAGGAACAACAAATCAGTCTCTCTCTCTCTCCCCCTCCCCCCTCTCCCCCCACTCCTCCCCTCTTCCTTCCCCCCTTCCCTCCCCTCCCCCTTTCTCCCTGCCCTTCTCCCTCTCCCACCCTCACTTCCTCCCTTTCTCTCTCTCAAAAAGTCAATCATTAAAAAAAAAAAAATTAAAAGTTATTCTCTTCCTCGTAATAAAAAAAAAAAAAAAGCTGGAGGAAGCCTTTTGGTACAAACAAGACATTCTCCTTTCATTTGACTTCTTTACAAGTCATTTGTTCTTTATGCATTTGCTAGATGTCTGTGGTGTGTCTTGCCATAACACATTACACTAAGGGTATTGAGAAGAGTAAAGCAGGATCCCTGATCTCAAAGATCTCTGATTGACTAATGAAGAGATTATAGACAAAGCAATAGTTAGAATATAGTGTACAGATAGTACGATACAGGTGTGAAAAGATGCTGTAAAAGCAAAGACGAGGTGCTACTAAACCAAAACTTTCTTCCTAAGTGGAAATATTTTATTTCAATAAAAATGCATAACATTTGTAGTTAAAACAGTCACATGTAAGGAGGAAAGATTACCAAACTGTATGTTTAATATCATCTTTTACCAAAATGTGTACATGTACAGACAGGAGTCTAGAAGAATAAACAACCAAATGGTAGGTCTGTGCTCCTGGTTGGAAGGTTACATATGGTACTAAGTTCCTTCCTTTTGTTTTGTCTAAAATGTTTTACAATGAGAATGATGCAAATAGCATTTTGTTTTATGTAAATGGGATTTATTAAACACCATAGTGGAACCTGCTCTTTTTTTACAACACAGTGGTGAACTTTGTTTGGCAGTACATGTGACTCTCCTCCTCCCCTAATGCCAGAGTGACTGGCAGTGTCTGGAAGTGCCCTTATTCAGTCTTTCTCTCAGTTTGGACATCGAGGTTGTTTCTAATTTTTCAGTGGTGTGATTAGTACCTTAGGATGAGCAGTCTTAGAATGCATGGTTAAAAGAGCACAAATGTTTTCGTACTTTTCCAAATTGCTTCCAAGCATTGTACGGATTTTTACTCAACAACATGACTGTGACTCACAAGCTAACACAGGCCATTATGAATCATTTTAAATCTTTCCTTCTCTAATAAGTCAGTAACATGTTAATTTTTATTTCTTTGATTATTAGGTACCGAGCAACTTTTTATACAGTATTTGTTTGTATTTCCAGTTAGAAAATTGGCTGTTTTCTAATGGTTTCTCCATTTTACTGATTATAAGAGCCCTTCATATTTTCTTTTATGTTGCAATATTTTTTATTTTACTTTCAACTTCATTTTTAGTCTTGCTGTGCAGATTTATTAAAATGCTTATGTTGTCACATTTATTGTTTTATGACTTGGATTTTGTATTAATGCCTTCCATATTCTAAGATAATAGGGTTATTCTCTTATTTTCTTCTAGTAGTTTTGTGGTATGTTTTTTATTTGAATCTTTATTTTTACATGGGATTTGTGGAGCATAATATGAGAGAGATACTAGATTTTTTCCCCTAAGTTGATAATATGGTTAAGCATTCTACTACAGATATTTCCTTTCATCTAAAATTTTGAATCAATATTTATTTTTCTCTTCTCCATGTAAACAGAGGAAACTAAAACAATGAGTACATTTTTACTTGCTCTTGCTGATTGCCACACACTGCCCCCTGCTGCAGGACCAGACACTTCATGGCAGCATCTCCTGTCTCTGCATTAGGTAGCAGACAGATTGGTTCTTATAACTAACTGAAGGTATAAACACAGTCACAACCTATGGCCATCTTATTTGTGTTTGTGGTATGTGTTTTTATTGTCTTATTTTTCTTTTCTAACAGAGTCCTCTTTATGTGAAGAGCAAAATCTTGCAATTTCTAACCCCCTCCTTTAGTGAGGAACAATAAAAACTGTAAAATCAGATTTTATGCCCTGGCCAGTTTGGCTCAGCGGTTAGAGCACCAGCCTGAGGACCAAAGGGTTGAGGGTTCAATTATGGTCAAGGGTATATTACCTGGGTTGCAGGTTCAATCCCCAGCCCTGGTCTGGGTCGTGCGGGAGGCAACCAATTGATGTTTCTCTCATCGATGTTTCTTTCCCTCTCTCTCCCTTCCTCTCTCTCTAAAAATCAATAAAAACATACTTAAAAAAAGAAGAAAAGAAAATCAGATTTTATGATGGGGTCCCTCCCACCTTTAAATACACCCCAGACAAATGTGGCATAGATATTTTGGTGGGGCAGAATGTCCTTAAGGACAGTGTTTCAGGGCAAAAAAACGTAAGTAGGACGTCAATAGTGGCGGCAACAGTGGTCTTCAAATCTTTAACAGGAAAATTATGACCCTTATTAGTGACGCTACCAGCCACATTGGTTCCTAGACCTGGTAACCACCTTAAGAACCAACAGAGCCACAAGAACTTGGTTGTGTAAATATAGCTGCAGATCAAATCAAATAGGAACAATCTCAACTGATTGCCAAGCTTGCTTAACAGGGAGAGTTATGCATTTAGTTCATCCTAAGGCACTAACCAGACTGGTGTATTTTTAACCCACTACCAAGGTAAAGCTACTTAACAAGCACTTATCAAGAATCTCTCAAGTGAAAGGAAATGGTTGTGTACTTTGAAGTTTTCCCCCCATGTTTGCTTTTTTAGGAGGCATGTGTATTTAGAGTCATTTTTCATACTCTTGCTCAATCTTCTTAGTGCATTATTTCTGAATGACTCACTAGGATTAAAGATGCTCTTGATTTTATAAATATAAAAAAAGCTAATTGAATGGCAAGGTATTTAACACAAGACATTGGTCATTTCATAAGCCCGCTGACCAGCTGACTCAGTTGTGCCAAAGTCATTTGATGAGTTTCTGTGGTTTTGAACATTTGCTACATTTTAGATGAGATTTTAATTCAAGCCAGCAGTAGCTCAGTCATTTTACCCTTTTTCTCCCCTATTCGACTTTGTTAAAGTCTTTTGCTATCTCAGACACACTTCCTAAGTAAGACATATATATTTGCATTTCTGGAATAAAGTTAGGAAAGAGGAAGTTAACTTTAAGCTGACATTCTTTTGTATGTGCTGTAGATATGCAAAGCCTAGAGAAGCTATTGAAAGATGCCATTGTCTATGGTCAGCCTCGGACACGAAGGCCCTGGAAGAAGATTCTAATCCTTGTGGAGGGAATATATAGGTAATTCTTCTTTATTATTCTTATCTTTTTTTTTTTCCTTTATTGATTTTAGGGAGAGGGAGAGATAGAAACATCAATGTGAGAGAACATTGAATGGCTGCCTCCTGCGTGCCCTCCACTGGGGATTTGGCCCACAACCTGGGCATGTGCCCTGACCAGGAAACAAACTGGTGACCTCTTGGTACATGGGATGACGCTCAACCACTGAGCCACACTGGCCAGGCTATTATTCTTATCTTTCTGATTTGGTTTCCTGTGGTCTTAGAATTTTTCAGCTTCACTTTATTCTCACTTCTTTTTTTTTTTTTTTACAGATAGAGTGGGAGGGAGAGAGAGGAAGGGAGAGAGAGAGAGAAACATCGACGTGAAGGGACACATCGAGTGGCTGCCACCCGCACGACCAACCAGGGCCGGGGACAAACTGCAACCGAAGTACGTGCCCTTAGCGGGAACCGAACCCGGGTCTCTCCGGACCGCAGGCCGACTCTCTAGCTGCTGAGCCAAACTGGCCAGGGCTCTCACTTCTTTTTTTTAAAATATGTTTTTATTGATTTTAGAGAGAGAGGAAAGGAGAAGGAAAGAGAGAACAAACATCAATGAGAAACATCAATCTGTTGCCTCTTGCATGCCCCCTACTGGGGACGGAGCCTGTGCCCTGACCTGGAATCAAACTGGTGACCTCTTGGTGCATGGGAAAGCACTCAGCCTACTGAGGCATACCCACTGGGTCATTTTCACTTCATTTAAAATAATTTTTTTTTTCTTTATTGATTTTTAGAGCAAGAGGAAGGAAGAGGGAGAGAGAGATAGAAACATTGATGAGAGAGACCATCTGGCTGCCTCCTACATGCCCCCCACTGGGGATTGGGCTCACAACCTGGACATGTGCCCTGACTGGGGATCGAACCAGCAACCTCTTGGTGCATGGGTCGATAATCAACTGCTGAGTCATATCGGCCAGGATTCACTTCATTTTTAAAGGGATACTAATTAAACCCCTCTGGAAACTAAGGAGATGGTGTTTATGACTTGTTAAAGAACCTGGAAGCAGAGTTACCTCTAGAACAGAAGTCTTTTTGTACAGCTCTAATTCTTTTCATTAAGTTACATGGTCCCCAAATACCCCTTCTATTTGGACCGTTTATTTTCCTGTTTGTAGAGGGAATTTATACATAGGGTCAAGAACTGGAATATGTTTTCTAATATGTCAAAACAAATTACACACCATTTAATTTTAAGAAGTATTTTGGTTACCTATTTGCAGCCCTTGCACGTTCTCTCTTACCTCCTAATGTTTTTTAATTCATTCTGTATAATTTCAATTACATACGCATTGTGATACAGAGTCTAATGTTGCCTATAATTACAAGCTTTAGAAGAATCTGCTGTGACTCTTACTCCTCTGTGGTGAATTAAGATTAATTGTGTTCTGGTACTTGTTTTGAAAGCTCCAGTCTCCTTTCCCCTAGACACCTGCCTAGCCCTGGCATCATTTGACTTTGCCAGTTTAAAACCAAAGGCAGTTATTAGACTATTTCAAAAGGTAGTAAACTTAAGAAATTAATAATAATAATAAAGTGACCAGCTCCTAATTTTGAGAGTTAAGAAGTCTCTGTGTATGTATTTTTTACTGTTTTGCCAGCATGGAGGGATCTATTGTTCGCCTTCCTGAAGTGATTGCCCTTAAGAAGAAGTACAAGGCGTACTTGTATCTAGATGAAGCTCACAGCATTGGGGCTCTGGGCCCTGCAGGCCGAGGTGTGGTAGATTACTTTGGCCTGGATCCTGAGGATGTGGACATTATGATGGGAACATTCACCAAGAGCTTTGGTGCTTCTGGAGGATACATTGGAGGCAAGAAGGTAAATGGGTCATGAGAACTGAGCAGCTAAGGATAAAGGTACTGGCTCCTGGGTGTGGTAAGTCGCATCTAGCAGACTGTCTGAACTGGGGTGTGGAGATCGGAATTTGTTTGTGGCTTAGGCTCATGGTGCCAGCGGGTTCACACTGAGGCTGCTTGGTGAGTGACTCTGAGGCACTAAAGGCTGTTTCTGTTCATTGTTTGTTGTTTTCTTATTTGAGCTTCATTCTAAACTGCATGCTGGTTCGAGATAGAGAATACTCTCTTGTATGAAAGAGCACACAGCGGTGCTGCCTGTTCACCACAGTCTTTTGCTCGGTTTGAGTTGCGCTCACAGTTTCACTGTAGTGGGGTTGTCATGGAAGACAATGGGAATAAAAGACCAAGTTCCCTGCCCTTGGACTCAAATGCATCTTGGGTGAGCATAGAAACAGAAAGAAAAAATATTATTTTACTAACTCTGGTGTATTATAAGGCTTTGCTTTTTTTCATTTAAAAATTATATAATGAACTCTGAGGCATTTGAGATGTGTGGCATGGTAGAAATGTTTGAACCATGGAGACAGGCCTGGGTTTGACTATTTCCCTAACCTTGTGGGACCTTGCACAAATCATTTAACCTTTCAGTTTCCTTATGAGTAAAACAGAGATAAATGAGTTTATAAGATTGCGGTAATGGTTTAAAAAATAATAGTGGATGTCCATACTGTGATATGGATGAACCTTGAAAGCTTTATGTTAAGTTAAAGAAGGGAGTCACAAAGGTCACATGTTATCTTATATCTTCTGTATGATACACCCAGAACAGGCCAATCATAGAGATTGAAAGTAAGTTAGTGGTTGCCAGAGGCTGAGGAGATGGGGGAAGCGGAAAGTGACTGCTAATGGGTGTGAAATTTCTTTTTGAGGTCATGAAAATGTTCTAAAATTAGGTAGTGATGAAAGTTGTATAGCTCTGAGAATATACTAAAAACACTGAATTGTACACTTTACAAAAGTGAATACTGCCCTGGCCGGTTTGGCTCAGCGGTTAGAGCATCGGCCTGCAGTCCAGAGAGTCCTGGGTTCAGTTCCCGCTAAGGGCATGTACCTCGGTTGCAGTTTGTCCCCGGCTCTGGTTGGGTTGTGCAGGAGGTAGCCACTCGATTGTGTCCCTTTCACGGCGATGTTTCTCTCTCTCTCTCTCTTCCTCTCTGTCCCTCCCACTCTGTCTAAACAAAAAAATGGGAAAATGTCCTCGGGGGTGAGGATAAAAAAAGAAAAAAAAGTGAATACTGCCCTGGCTGGTTTGGCTCAGCAGTTAGAGCGTCAGCCCACGGACCAAGAGTCTCGTGTTCAATTCCGGTCAAGGCATGTACCTTGGTTGCGGTTTAGTCCCTGGCCCTGGTTGGGGTAGTGCAGGAGGCAACCAGTCAATGTGTCTCTCAATTCAATGTTTCTCTCTGTTCCCCTCTCCCTACCCACTCTAACTAAAGATAAATGGAAAAATATCCTCGGGGGAGGATTTAAAAAATAAATAAATAAAATAAAAAAGTGAATACTATCATATGTGAATTATATCTCATCAAAACTGTTATTTTAAACTGCAGTTTTAGGGGAAAAAATCAATGTAAAGTATTTGTATGTGGCACATAGTAGATACTCATACATTTATTTAAATCCTCTTTAAAATTTTGGAAATCTTAAAGCATGGACTTCCTCTTAATAATTGATTGCCTTTTAGGGAAAATCCATTTTCAGTAGTTTCAGGCAAGTTGATAGATTTTTTTTACCTCTAATTTTGTTCATGGGATCAGGCTCCCTTTGGAGAGCTGATTGCTTTTTGGTAAGATTTGTTGCTAAACCGAAGGACAGAAAAATAGTACTGTGGGAGATCATTTAGGTACAGTGTGTGTATGCTGTTGTGGGTTTTATACAACTTTGCGTATGTTTGAAGTGATACACTGTAAAAAAGCCACATTGTGTCTTCTTGGTTCTGGTGGTACATAAGCTTTTTTTATGTGGTTATTTAAAGATTTAGTGAAGTAAGAAGGAATCAGAGATCGGAGATGGAAACTGATTGCTTTGAAAACCTTGTATCTGACAGACATGGTTTTTCTTTTCTTTTTTATCCTCACCCAAGGACATTTTTCCATTTTTTGTTCAGGTAGAGTGGGAGGGAGAGAGAGGAACAGAGAGAGAGAGAGAAACATCGATGTGAAAGGAACACACATCGAGTGGCTGCCACCCGCACAACCGACCAGGGCCGGGGACAAACTGCAACCGAGGTACATGCCCTTAGCGGGAACCGAACCCGGGTCTCTCAGGACCGCAGGCCGATGCTGTAACCGCTGAACCAAACCGGCCAGGGCTCTTTCTTTCTTCTTTTTTTTTTTTAACTTTTTTTTTTTTATTGATTTTTAGAGAGAGAAGAAAAGAGAGAGAGAGAGAAATGGAAACATCAATGAGAGAGAACATGGATGGGCTGCCTTCTACATGCCCTCCACTAGGGATCAGGCCCACAACCTGGGCATGTGTCCCAACTGGGAATTGAACCAGCGACGTCTTGGTGCATGGGTTGACCCTCAACCGCTGAGCCACACTCGCCGGGCTTTTCTTTCATTCTTTATTGCAGGCTCTAGTGTTCTCGTGAAAGACCCAATGAATTCTGTCACATATCATTTTATCAATTTCTGTGTGGAGGATATTCAATACCTTTAAATTGGTTTAGAGACTCGTCTCTCTCTGATTTATGGAGTGTAAGGGTGGGCTTTGCAAAAGTGGGGTAAGATGTAGGTGACATTTTCTGTAATACTTATAAGTAAACCATTTGTCCAAAAGTAATTCAAAGGACAGAAAATCCAAAGGACTTTCTTGTTTAATTGTAGATCTATTTATAATATTAAATGAGGGTTTCTTTAAAACTAGTTTCTCATTCTTTCATGTTGTGGCATGCTTAAAAAAACAAAAAGTCTAAGGTCGTTGTCATGTGTCTGGCCCAGCTGTTACTGACAGCATGCTTTGACCATGTTGGTTGACCTTGTCTCTCAGATTAGTGTCCCTATTCCACTGCTGCAGAAGGAAGGAGGAGTCTGCTTTCTTCTGGAAGGTAGGCAGTGACCTTGCCGGTGAATTCAAGCATTGCCTCTGATGAATTGCTTCTGTGAACTCCCCAGGAGCTGATAGACTACCTGCGAACACATTCTCATAGTGCAGTTTACGCCACGTCCATGTCACCACCTGTTGTGCAACAGATCATCACCTCCATGGAGTGCATCATGGGGAAGGATGGCACCACCCTGGGTAAGTCATTCTTTCCTTGGAAAATGTCCTGGGCTCAGTAAATATTTAGCAACCAAACATACTCTTTTCTAGAGCTTTTTTTCTAAAATGAGAAGCCCAGTATCCTAATCAGCAAGCTGGCAGGTGTGTGAGGCCTTGGTTTCTATGGACACTTTTCATTGTGTTTGATACATATGCCATGAGAACAAGCCTGGCTTGCTTCCTGTTGAATTTTATTCTCTACAGGTGGTGAGGCTTTGCTTTAGCAATCCTATCTTCCCTTATAAGTTACAGGTAATAAGCTTTCAGGGTCCTTCTTGAATTGCACAATTTTGTGTGAAAATAGAATTCACTGTGTAGTCATACTTCATTCTCATAGTATTTAAAAGCTGTTGTTGCCCTGGCCGGTTTGGTTCAGCGGTTAGAGTATTGGTCTGCGGTCCTGAGAGACCCGGGTTCGGTTCCCGCTAAGGGCACGTCCCTCGGTTGCAGTTTGTCCCCGACCCTGGTCGGTTGTGCGGGTGGCAGCCACTCGATGTGTCCCTTTCACGTCGATGTTTCTCTCTCTCTTTCTGTTCCTCTCTTTCTCCCTCCCACTCTACCTGAACAAAAAATAGAAAAATGTCCTCGGGTGAGGATTAAAAAAAAAAAAAAAAAGCTGTCTTCATGAATTAGTGTCCTTGATTTAGTGCCTTGAAAAGAGTTTGTAATTTAACATACAATAGCTAACATAGGTCATCTTGAATTTGTTTATTCTGTCTTTGGTGGAATCTGTAGACTAGACGCCCTGACTTAAAATACTAAAATGAACAATCAAGTGTGACCTTTGCTTTCCCATAGTTTACTTTTATTCTGTATCACTAGGGGGCAGTGTTAACTGCAGAAAAGGAAAGCAGAGCCATTGTATTTTTTTGTTTTTTCACTTTTAAAAGTATTTCCATTGTAAGGCATGTATTAACTATACTTGTTTTTTACTGCTTCTAAAATTATTTTTACTGTCATAAAAGATTTCACATTCTCAGCCTTGAGCTCTCCCTTTTCAGTTAAATAACACTGTGGTAAGATTAATATGGTTTGCATTGAAAAACAAGACAGAAACTGATTTTGATAGACTTAAACCTGTTTTCTTAAGTCAGAATTTTACTTTAATATTATCTCTGTTCTGTGATACATCCTTGTTATCATGAGATTTTTGGAAATAGATTTTGGAAGTGTTGATCATTTTCAGTTTCATGAATTGATTCCTAGAGAAAGAAAGTATTTCATTAATGTTGTGAACACATTGTGAGTAGCTCCCTCTTGACAACAGTCATAATGTTATCTTCTCTCCTTCCTGCAGGGTGTTATTAAAAGACTGTGCTTTGATCTGAGATATAGTTATCTATCTATCTATCTGTATAGGTAGCACTTAGCTAGATACTTCACCTAGGTGCATCAACCTCACTGATTTAGCAGACAGCTTTAGGCAACTGAAAAATGAATGGCTAACAGCTATCAGAGTTACCTTTGGATAAGTTATTGTTCTTATCCCAGAGCATGGATCTGTGTGACACATGACCTTTGGATAAATGACTTACTTGTACTAAATAATGAAATCTAGGTAGTGAGAAAATGAAATATGGCAATTAGATATAGGCTTTGGGTTAGCACTGAGTTTCCAGTTTATCTGTTGCCTCTCTAACCAACCCCTATGCATAGTAGCATGAAACAATGGCCATCTTATAATGCTCACAGATTCTGCGGGTCAGGAATTCGGTCAGGGCACAGCAGGGATGGCTTGTCTTTGCTCCACAATATCTGGGGCTTGAGCTGGAAGACCCAAGCCACTGAGTTAGACTCAGATAGCTGGGGGGCTGGGATCATCTGGAGTCTTCTTCACTCGTGTCACCTGGGCTGGGATGGCTTGAAGACCGGGCTCAGCTAAGGCTGTCGACCAGAACACTTTCACGTGTCCTCCCCATGTGGCATGAGCTCTTTATATATAGCACATTGACTGGGGTATCCAGAGAGGATGCTTCTGAGAGCAAGTGTTCCTAAGAACCTGCTGAAACCCCACGATCTTTTCTGATCTGTTATGAACAAATGGGTCCCTAAAGCCTGCCCAGATTGCAGGACATGGGAAGTCAAACTCCACCCCAAATGGAACATGGGTCAAAGAATTTATAACCACTATCAGCTTTTAAATAATATATTTTAAAATATATTATTTTAAAAATTACTCCCTGCCCTGGCCAGTTTGGCTCAGCAGTTAGAGCGTTGGCCTACGGTCTGGAGAGACCTGGGTTCGGTTCCCGCTAAGGCCACATACCTCAGTTGCAGTTTATTCCCGGCCCTGGTTGGGTCGTGTGGGTGGCAACCACTCGATGTGTCCCTTTCACATCAGTGTTTCTCTCTCTCTCTCTCCCTCCCACTCTATCTGAACAAAATATCAAGAAGTGTCCTTGGGTGAGGATAAGAAAATATATATATTACTCCCTAAAACTTTTTTTTTATTGTTGACACTGTTACAGATAGATATTCCTCATTTCCTTTCCCTTTTGCCCCCTCCACTCAGCCTCCACAACCCCCTTACCAAAACTTTGAATCAGTATGACAAACTTCTATTGGCTACATTGTTTCTTTGCCAAAATACAGGATAATAAAAACCCAACCAAAAGTAGACATAATACCAATTCACTGTTATTTTTAACAAATTGTAATGAATAGGTCATATGATAGGAAAATCACTAGTAATTTTATGGACATAAATAAACATTACATATCTACAACTATAGTCTACATATTTAAATCCAGGAGTCACTGCTGGTAAACAGTGTTCTAGGAATGATTAGCATGTGATTACACCACATCCTGCGCAGCAGTTGTTTCTGTTGTCGGTGGTGTGACTTTCTGGAGCAGTTTTAACACCTGCCTGCTGATGTTCCCACTTGCGATAAGCCACACCCCAACTGTATGCATTGTTTACTGGTGGTGACTGGTGAACGCACGAATTTACTAGATCTATTCAGTATAAATTTAAAATTACTGTAATACATATAGAAAACTTTTCTGTGAAATCAAACTTTTTATACATACTTAATTTTAATTCCACAAACTTGTCTATGTTAAAATAAACAGGTAAACTAATTAATTTGTTACTTTTTTAACATACGCATTAGGAAAACCCACTTTACAATAAATAGACTTTGGGCTTTAACAGACACACCTTGCCCAAATTAGTCTGTTATATCAAGGTTTTACTGTACCTGAGTGTGATTGATAATAGAAATGGCCTGCTTTAAGAGAAACTTAATCTCTGATGTTCAGGACATGGCATTTCTTTAATCTCGCAAACATTGAGTATCTCACTACATGTTAGACTCTGAATCAGAATCCACAGGAAATGGGCATATAAGCAGATCATTGAAGTGAAGTATATACTTGGGGAATATTAGGGATGCAGGAGACAGACAGTGGGTTGTGGTATTAGTCCCGGAGATTAGTGTAATATAGAAAAATTGAAGTTTTATTAATCATTCACCATGCACTGTATGTTAGAATGTGGTGAGTACTTTGGCAGAAAGGTAAGCCAGAAAGGTGGCCAGTCAGGAATTCTGGGGACCTAGTTTGCAATTTTAAATAGGGTGGTCATTGAAAAGGTAAGATTTTAGCAAGAACTTGAAGGAGGTAAGGATTTAGCCTTGAAAATCCAGGGATGGAAGGCCATCAGATGGAGGCAATTCTGTCTCCTGTACTTTGATGCTTTTACTCTGTGTTCAGGAATAGCAAGGAGATCACTGGGGCCATAGCGTAATAGTGCAGGTACAATAACTGAGGGAGTGAGTGTGTTGAAGCGAGGATAGAGGTTGTGGGGAGGGTAGAAGTTCTGAAAGGGGGCAATCTTATCTTGTAAGAGTATTAGGTTGAGCCCAGGCCAGTTTGGCTCAGTGGTTAAAGCATTGGCCCTTGGACCAAAGGGTCTCGGGTTCAATTTCTGGTCAAGGTCATGTAACTGGATTGCAGGTTCAATCCCCAGCCCCGGTCAGGGTCATTCGGGAGACACATTGATGGATCCCCCCCTCTCCCCCCTCCCCTCCCTCCCTTCCATCCTTCCACCCTTCCACTCTACCTTAAAAAAAAAACCCAAACCTGATAGGGCAGAAATCTTCTTACTTTTATGATACAGTTGATTTGGTCTTTATCTTAGCCAGGTCATCTTGTAACCAGAAGTAACCATTTGTAAGCCAGCTTTCAGAGTCAGGGAAGCATTTGCTCCATTGTAACTTGCAGGTTCTGTATCTCATTAATGATATGGGTATGGAAACGAATCCTTAGAAGAACTTTAAGAATCAGATTAGGATAGAGAAACTAAATTTATAAAGCAAGTTAGACTTTAATTAAAATATAAATACTTGCTTGTTATTAAATATTTCCATTGATATTGGGGTTGTCTATTAACACCTATTGTATTCCAAGGAAAGATATGACCTGTGCCCAGCCGGTGTGGCTCAGCAGTTGAGTTTCGACCCATGCACCAAGAGGTCGCTGGTTCGATTCAGTCAGGGCAAATGCCTGGGTTGTGGGCCTGATACCCAGTGGAGGGCCTGTAGGAGGCAGTCAGTCGATATTCTTTCTCATCGATGTTTCTGTCTCTTTCTCCCTCTTCCTCTCTCTCTCTCTCTCTCTCTCTCAAAAAAAAAAAAAAAAAAAAAAAATATATATATATATATACACACACACACACACACACACACACATATGACCTGTGTCAGGTTGTAGGATTTACGGCACTATATGTCCTTTATACAGTGGCTACTCTTCTCTATTTATGGGCTTAGTATGATTTTTCTCCTTTTTTGCCCCTAACCAGAATTAGTGGATCCGAAATAGTTGTTTCATATTGATAATACTTAATGAGCTCTGAAATGTTGAACAACTCTTTCATTTAAGATGAAATCAAAACAAAAATGTGACTTGAGTTCTCGGGGGTTAAAAAAGAAGAAAACATTTAGCCTTGACACAAATGTAATATTGTTTTTAAT